CGGTGGCCACTGCGAAGCCCGAGAGGCTGGAGCCGAGGTTGCAGCTGGACGAGGAGCGCTTCCAGGGGTGAAAGCCGCCTTTGGCGAAGGCGCTCGACTCCGGCAGCGTCGTCAGCGGGCTCGTGTTGCCGATCTTGTTGCAGGTCGCCGCTAGCATGGCCAACGGGGTCGTTCCGAAGCGCGGCTCTTCCTAAAGTGGGTAGGATGGGGGAGGGAGCAAGGAGGAGGAGGGCAGGAGGAAGTGGGGAAGAAAGAAAGTGCACCCGTGAGCAGCCTCGTCCCCTGCGGCTGCTCCCGGGGGGGTCCTAGCTCCCCGCCTCGCGCCTCCTCCCCACGCGCCCGCGGAAGAGTCACCGCACCGGGCGCGGGACAGTGGCCATCACCGCGGCGAAGGTCCGGGGGCCGGAAAGTTGCTCTTCGCTGAGGCTGTAAATCAAAGATGCCTCCGTGTTCCCCGCCTCAGTCGCTGCAACCCTGACTACAACCGGACTTGGGTTGTCGCGGTAAACCGGCTCCTCTCCCAGAAGACCCCAAGTCGCCCTTCGGGGTGACGCGCGAAGGTAAACACAGAGACCAGAGACAACAAACACCGGGCGAGGGCGGAGGCGGCCGAAACAGCAGCCAGGGACGGGCGAAACTTGCAGCACTCCCAGGGTGGCTACGACTTGACTTTTCTTTTTTAATAGAAAACGTTTGGTTTTAAAGTTGACACACACACAAACACAGCGATTATGAAAACAACAATCCGAGGATAAGCGGCCAGAGACGTATTTTCAAAGTCACGGGCGAACTGGGGAGCCGCGGAAATGTAAATATTTATTAGCGTGACTAGATGGACTGCAAAACGATTAAGACTGTTTTCTGGAAACACCACTGTCGCATAATTGCAACAAAATCCCCAAAGCAAGGCGGGGGGTGGGGTATAAATCACGAGGGGAAGAAAAGAAACCTCTAGCTTTTCTTTGAAACCAAGTAAAAAAGGACTTCATTAAGAAGGCCTTTTCTTGCAAAGGCATCTGCTGGGTTCCAAAAACTTGGGAAAAAAATCAGTCCCAGAAATGTGGCAAGTGCTAATAGAAGCTGAAGCTGCAGTCCAGCAGCAACAGTTTCTCGGGAGCCGCAGACTCCAGAAGCCATAACGAAAAATTACTCCGGTTAAAACAAGCAAATGCATTGCCGCGCTTGCGACTTACCCCGAGTATAGACGTGGCCATAGCAGGTCTCTGGCTGCGCAGCGAGGCTGGGAGCGGGGCTGAGCCTGGCGGCTGCTCGGAAAAACTGCTTGGGTCCCGCGCGGCTCCCGCGT